TACCTTCCTGTCAGCAATGAATGAGGGTTATGGTTTCTCTCCATTCTCACCAACACTTGGTACTGTCTGTCTTTTTAATGGTAGCCATTCTAGTGAGCATGTAAAATCACCTTTGTTTTTCTTTGGCTTTTTATTTTGAAATAATTATAAATCCACATAAAGTTGCAAAATTGTACAGGGAGGTCCTGTGTACCCTTCCCCCAGTTTCTTCCAGTGGTTACATCTTACATAACTAGAGAGCAATTTTAAAACCAAGAAATTGACCTAGGTACAATGTTTGCATTGAGTTCTATACCATATTATCATACCTGTAGATTCACATCTTGCTAGAGGGTTGTCAATGTTCTTGATCATTTGGAAGAATCAGCTCTTTGTTTCACCAATTTTCTGTTCTCAATTTCATTCATCTATGCTCTTTACTACTTCCTACCTTCAGCTTGCTTTGGGCATATTTTGCTACTCCTTTTCTAAGTTTCCTGAGGTGGGATCGATCTTATGTTACAGATTTGAAACTTTTTCTTTTCTAATGTAAGCATTTAATGCTATAAATGTCCCTCTCAGCACTGCTTTAGCTGGATTCTACAAATTTTGAAGTGTATTTAAATTTTCATGTGATTCAATATATTTTAAAAATTTCTTCTTTGATCTATGAGTTACCTAGAAATATGCTGTTTAGTTTCCAAGTCTTTGGAGATTTTACTGGTTTCTGTTTTTTTCTTTTTTTTTTTGTTCTTTTATTTTTGAGAGAGAGAGGGGCAGAGAGAGAGGGAGACAGAGAATCCTAAGTAGGTTCCAGGCTGTCAGCATAGAGCCCTATGTACAGAGCTTGAACTCACAAATCATGATAGCATGGCCTGAGCTGAAATCAAGAATCAGATGCTTAACCAACTGAGCCACCCAAGAGCCCCTGGAGATTTTACTGTTAAGGTTTTGCTATCATCTATCTATCTATCTATCTATCTATCTATCTATCTATCTATCTATCATGAGAGAGAGAGAGTGCATGAGTGAGGGAGATCTATGAGAGAGAGTGCATGAATGAGGGAGAGGGGCAGAGGAAGAGATAGAGAGAATCTTAGGCAGGCTCCTTGCTCAGCACAGAGTTTGAGCTGGGGCTTGATCCCATGACAATGAGGTCATGACCTGAGCGGAAATCAGAATCAGACACTCAACCCACTGAACCACCCAGGCACCCCAGGTTTCTGTTACTGATTTCTATTTTGCTTTCACTGTGGGCAGAGAACAAACTGTGAATAACTTCAATTCTTTCAAATTTGTTGAAGTTTCTTTTATGGCCCAGGATATGGTCTATTTTGATCAACTGTTCTGTGGGTACTTGAAAATGTGTATTCTGGTATTGTTGAGTGGAGTACTCTATAAATGTTGGTTAGATCCTATTGGTTAATATTTTTCTATATCCTCATTGATTTTCTTTCTAGTTGTTCTATCAGTTGTCAGAGAAGGACATTCCAAGTTTCCAACTATAATTATGGATTTGTCTATTTCTTATTTCAGTTCTATCAGTTTTTGCTTCACATATTTTTTTTTTAAACATTTTTTTTAAATGTTTTTTTTTTTTTTAATTTTTATTTCTAGGAGAGAGAGAGACAGAGACAGCATGAGCAGGGGAGGGTCAGAGAGAGAGGGAGTCACAGACCGAAACAGGCTCCAGGCTCTGAGCTGGCAGTCAGCACAGAGCCCGACGCGGGGCTCGAACCCACGAACCGCGAGATCATGACCTAAGCGAAAGTCGGACACTTAACCGACTAAGCCACCCAGGCGCCCCATTTTGCTTCACATATTTTACAGCTCTATTGTTCAGTGTGTACACTTTTAGTATTGCTATGTCTTCTTCTTGGTTTGACTCTTTTATTATCACTTAATATTCCTTTCTATACCTGATATTCTTTACTGTGAAGTCTACTTTATTTGATATATTAATACAGCCTTTTCTGCTTTGCTTTGATTAATGCATCAGGGCATATCTTTTTTCATCCTTATACCTTCCACCTACTTTAAAAAAAATTTGTTTTTAGTGTTTATTTTTGAGAGAGAGAGTGCACACGTGTACGCAAGCAGGGGAGGGTCAGAGAGAAAGGGAGACACAGAATCTGAAGCAGGCTGCAGGCTCTGAGCTGTCTGCACAGAGCCTGATGCGGGGCTCGAACTCACAAACTGCAAGATCATGACCTGAGTCGAAGTGGGCTGGTTGCTTAACCGACTGAGCCACCCAGGCACTCCTAAATTTTTTAAATAATTTTTTGGAATTCCATTTTATCTATAGTGCTTGAGTGTTTTTGTATACATTTTTAAAGTGGTTTCTCTAAGTATTATATTATATACATACTTTATGTAGAAAGTCTCTTTACCCTGTTTACAATGCAATCATTTTAAATATTTCTTCTATATACATTAACAGCCACATCAGACAAGATTATAAGTTTTTCTTTAACTGTCAAATATAATTTAGAAATCTCAATAGAAAGTCTATTGTACTTATCTATGTTTTATTCTTTCAATTGTTCTTTCTTCCTTCTGGATATTCCAAGATTCTTTTATAATTTCCTTTCTGTTTCAAGAGCTTTCTTTAGGCATTCTGTTAAAGTAGGTCTGCTGGTGACTAACTGTCTTAGCTTTCTTTCATTTGAAAATATCTACATTTCTGTTTCATTCCTTAAGGATATTTTCACTGGATACAGAGTTTGGGGTTAATTAACAGTTCTTTTTCTTTTAGCATTTGAAAAATGGGACGCTTCCTCTGGCCTCCTTGGTTTCTGATGAAAAAGCTATTGTTACTTATTTTTTTCCTTATAAGATGTCAGTGCTCTCCCAAGAGTCTGCCTTTAGTTTTTATAAATTTAAATTATGATGTATCTTAGAACAGATTTATTTCCATTTATCCTGTTTGGGGCTTACCAGCCTCTTGAATCTTTAGGTTTATAACTTTTGCCAAATTTGGGAAATTTTCAGTAATTATTTCTTTGAATATTTTTTTCAGCTCCATCCTTCCCCCTTCCTCTTTCACTATGATGAGACAAAAGTTAGATCTTTTGTTACAGTCTCACAAGTCCCTGTGGCTTTGTTCATTTTTTAAAGTCTGTATTCAACCCTCTGGCTGAATATAGATGGGCCCATCAGACAACCCACCTAAAAATGTCCATAAAACCTAAATGATCAATAGGCTACTTAGAAGCAAGCACAGTTACCAAAAAGGGGAAAATTCCATAATCCCCATACCTCCGTACCTTCCCACTTTAAATACAGTCTCCACCCACTGCCTCATAGCAGTCTCTCCTTTACTATCCTGCTTGCTGCTCTCTTGCAGTGTATTCAATAAACTTCTATCTCCTTTGTTCTGCCTCTGGTGAATCCTTTAACCGGATTGTCATCCCACATTTGGGAGCCCCATCCGATCAAGAGAGACACCACACCTCACTTCTGCTCCTACATGTCCTTCAGTCTGCCTCCTCAGATACCACCTCAATAGGGAGGGGCAGACATGCTCTGTTAATGTTGGGTAGGACGGTGGGAGTCCAGGCTCTAATGTGGTTTCCATAGACACTAGGGGGAGGAAGTCTTATTCCCTCTAGGTAGGGATAAAAGTTGTGATTTTTCCATTAGGCCTTCTCGGACTTTCCCAGCAGTAAGGCTACCTCAGGAAAAAGGATGGACTAGAACCTGTGAAGTCTTTTCCATCCCAGTAATTCTGAACTTTATATAGGGGAGAGGTGAAGATGTGCATTTCTTTGAGGAGGAGGAGACACAGTTGTCTATGTATGAGAAAGCTTCATAAAACCATTGCCCCTGGCCCAGCATTTGCCTTCTGAAATTTCAGGGGGGTTTTCAGCAGAGTCCTATGGGGAACTGCAGAGAAAATATTTTCATGTTTCTTCACAGTTAGGCTTTCTGAGCAAAGAAAGCTGGAACCTTTGTTAAAGAACAAGTCTCGGAAATTAAAGGGTGATTTACTAGCCAGAGACCTCTGAAGATATTTAGACTTGTTTCCCTGTGTTTACATTTCAAAGGGGGATAAAATGGGTCATTGCTTAAATTTCAAAGGACTGTAAATGCCAAGGTTTCTCTCCCATCTCCTGAATGGAGGAGGGCAAGACGTGGCCTATTTACACTCTCAGGTTAGTAATTTTGGAGTTCTTCTTCTGTGGTATAAACTGTGGCTTCTCTCTCAATTGGATGGGGGCCCCCAAATGTGTGCTGATGGTAGAGTGGAAGCCAGTGGCGCAGGAGGTGAAAGGATTCACTGGAGGCAGAAGTTTACACAAGGGAGCAGGAGGCAGGACAGCAAAGGAGAGACTGTCTGCAATGAGGCAGTGGGTGGGGCTGTATGTAAAAGGGAATGGTAAGGAGGTATGAGAACATATGGAATTTTCCCTTTTTGGTAATTGTGTCTGGTTCTTTATTTAAAAATTTTTTAAAAATTAATTAATGTATTTTTGAGAGAGAGAGAGAGCACAAATGGGTAAGGGGCAAAAAGAGAGGGAGACACAAAATATGAAGCAGGTTCTAGGCTCTGAGCTGTTAGAGACAGCCTGACACAGGGCTCAAACCAAAGAACTGCGAGATCATGACCTGAGCTGAAGTTGGATGCTTAACAGACTGAGGCACCCAGGTGCCGCATTAAAAAAATTTTTTTTAATTAATTTTTATTTTTTTCTGGTTCTAAGTAGTCTATTGATCAGTTAAGGCTTATGGATATTTTGAGGTGGGTTGCCTGATGGGCCTGTACACTGTATTCAGCCTTGTGGTTGCTGTGGGCCCTTTTGCCTTGATCAAGTTTCCATTGCTCAAAGCTGTTGTCTAAAAGTGGCCTCTACATGAACCCCTTATTTGCAGGATGACATCTGGCTCTCCTTGTGTTGCCTGTGGCATACTGTGTGTGAGGAATGGGCAGTTATTGCTATAAGTAATAATAACTGTGATCTCTGTTCCAGAAACCTCATATGTGTTTTTAGGATAAAATGATCAAATATAGATATACTCACCACAAAGGGAAGGATACATTCGTGCTGATTTTGTACCATGTATAAGCTGAAGAGGGACATGCGGCTGGGGCCCATCAAGCTGCAGGCTAGAGAGAAAAAGTTCTGCAGAGCCTCACAGAGGTTGGAGCAGACACCAGCCCAGGATGGTAGAGCAATATGCACAATGAGAAGCCTTGGAGGTTGCTGGTAAATCTGCGTGGGAGTGGAGGGCGCTTTACCAGTACTTCGTCCATGATACATACTAACCAGACCAGAGGTAGAACTGGAGTCACTACCTGGATATTCTCTGTACCTATAGAGAAGCAAAGAGAAATCACTGGCTTTCATAAAACTGAATTATATGCTTGGTTGAAATGATGAACACAGTCCCAGAGGACTAAATCCAGAAAGGAGTCAGACTGGGGACTAAGTCAAGTTTCTCTAGACTATCCCATCTTAACTTCCAAGAGATTGCTTACACATGCTGAGTGGAACTAAACAAAAAGTGACACAAAGCCAAATTTCAGTCTTAAAGCAAGCTATCTGCCCTCATACATTTTTTTAAATTGGCATTTATTGTACTGTCTTTTACAATTTGTTTCTACGACTGCCTTTCCCAATACATTGTGAGCTTTCCAAGGGTGGAGAACCGGACTTGCCAAATTTATCTATCAGTGTTTAGCACAGTGTTTATTTGGTACATAGTAATTCTTTCTCTCTCTCTCTTTTTAATGTTTATTTATTTTTGAGAGAGACAGAGAGAAAGAGAGAGAGAGAGAGAGCAAGCACAAGCTGGGGAGAGGGAGAGACAGAGGGAGACACAGAATCTGAAGCAGGCTCCAGGCTTTAAGCTGTCAGCACAGAGCCTGATGCCAGGTTTGAACTCACAAGCCTTGAGATCATGACCTGAGTGGAAGTCAGACGCTTAACCAACTGAGCCACCCAGGCGTGAACCAAATATCGTCCTTAATCGTGATGTTGAAAGCCACTACCCAAGACAAGGAGACTGCTATCATTACTTCTATTTAACGCTGTAGTGAAGGCAGTAATAAGGCAAGATAAAAAAATATGTATTGCAGTGGAAGAAATAAAACTGTTATTATTTGTAAATGATATGATTGTGTATATGGAAAATCTAAGAGTTGATAATTTTATAATTTTCCCCAAAAGTTCTCATCTTTTGTTAATTTTATTCTTAGAGATCTTATTTTTTAGTGTTAATTTACATGACATCCTTTTAACTTTCATTTTTAGTTTGTTGCTAATATATAGAAATAAAGCTGATTTTTGTACATTGATTTTGTATTTAACAACCCTGCTGCACTCTCTAATTATAATTTATTTGTAAATCCTTTTGGATTTTTTGTCCATAATCATATAATCTGTGATAATGACAGGTACCAGGCACATGAACAAAGTCAGATCGTAACAGCAAAAGGCTATTTGTAACAGTTTTGCTCATAATTGCTGCAAACTGCAAACAGCACAAATGTCAATAAATGTTGGAATGGATAAATTCTAGTATAATCACACATGTAGCAATGAAAATGAATTAGTTACACACAACAGGGATGATTCCAAGAAACGAAATATAAGAAGCAAGACAGAATACATATAGTACAATTCTGCCTACATAGATTTTATTTTATATTTTATCTTAGTTTAGTTTTGAGAGAGAGGCATGAAAGCACATAAAAGCAGGGGAGGGTCAGAGAGGGAGAGAGAATCTTTTTATTTTTCTTCATCAGGAATCTTTTTATTTTATTTTTTATTTTATTAAAAACTTTTAAAAAATGTTTATTATTTTTTTACAAATAGTTTATTGTCAAGTTGGTTTCCATATAACACCCAGTGCTCATTCCCACAAGTGCCCTCCTCCATGCCCATCTCCCCCCTAACCCCCCACATCCATCAGTCCTCAGTTTTTTCTCAGCATTCAAGAGTCTCTCATGGTTTGCCTCTCTCCCTTTCCCCCACCATTTCCCCCCTTCTTCTCCCCCTTGGTCCTCCGTTAAGTTCCTCCTAATCCTCCTAAACATGCAAGTATATGATATTTGTCCTTCTCTGCCTGACTTATTTTGCTCAGCATAACACCCTCAAGATCCATCCATGTTGCTACACATGGCCAGATTTCATTCTTTCTCATTGCCATGTAGTATTCCGTCGTATAGATAAATGACATCTTCTTGATCCATTCGTCCGTTGATGGCACTTAGGCTCTTTCCATGTTTTGGCTATTGTTGAGAGTGCTGCTATGAACATTGGGGTACATGTGCTCCTATGCATCAGCATTTCTATATCTCTTGGGTAAATTCCTAGCAGTGCTATTGCTGGGTCATAGGGGAGTTCTATTGTTAATGTTTTGAGGAATCTCCACACTGTTTTCCAGAGGGGCTATACCAGCTTACATTCCCACCAACAGTGTAGGAGGGTGCCCGTGTCTCCACATCCTCGCCAGCATCTCAAGTTCTCTGATTTGCTCATTTTAGCCACTCTGACTGGCGTGAGGTGGTATCTCAGTGTGGTTTTGATCTGTATTTCCCTGATGAGGAGGGATGCTGAGCATCGTTTCATGTGTCTGTTGGCCATCTGGATGTCCTCTTTGGAGATGTGTCTGTTCATATCTTCTGCCCATTTCTTTACTGGGTTGTTTGTTTTTCGGGTGTGGAGTTTGGTGAGTTCCTTATAGATTTTGGATATCAACCCTTTATCTGATATGTCATTTGCCACTATCTTTTCCCATTGCGTTGGTTGCCTATTAGTTTTGTGGGTTGTTTCAAATGTTTATTTACTTTTGAGAGAGCGAGGGAGAGAGAACGAGAACACAAGTGGGAAAGGGGCACAGAATCTGAAGCAGGTTCCAGGCTCTGAGCTATCAGCATAGAGCCTAACAGGGGCTCAAACTCACAGACTGCAAGATCATGCCCTGAGCTGATCTTGGGAGCTTAACCGACTAAGCCACCCAGGCACCCCTATTTTTTATTTTTTAATCATTTTTTCATTCACCACTGAATTCTTTCCCCACTGTTTTTTTAAAATATAAATTTTAGTTAGTTAACATATAGTGCAATATTGGTTTCAGGAGTAAAATTCAATGCTTCATCACTTACATACAACACCCAGTACTCATCACAAGTGCCCTCCTTAGTACCCATCACCATCTAGCCCATCTCTTACTCATCTCCCTCCATCAACCCATAGTTTGTTCTCTATCCTTACGAGTGAGAGAGAGAATCTTAAACAGGCTCTTTGGCCATCATGGAGCCCGATGGGGGGCTTGATTTCACGACTGTGAGATCACAACTGAGCTGATATCAAGAGTTAGACAACTGAGTCACCCAGGCACCCGTACACAGATTTTAAAAATAAGCACAAATAGCTATATTGTTTAGGCATGTGTACATAATGGTTAAACTATTTTTAAAAATCAAGGAAATGACTATCATTAAATTAGGGTAGTGATTTTCTCTAGAAAGGAAGGGGGGGCATTATGATTAGAAGGGACAAAAAGAGGAGGTTTGGGGGTATTGGCAATGTTCTATTTCCTCACCTTTGTTGTGGTTACATGGGTGCTCACTTTATAATTATTAAGCTGTATGTGCATGTTTTATGAAATGTTCTCTCTATGTTATATTTATTTATTTATTTATTTTTATTTTTTTTTAATGTTTTATTTATTTCTAGGAGAGAGAGAGAGAGACAGCGTGAGCAGGGGAGGGTCAGAGAGAGAGGGTGTCACAGACTGAAACAGGCTCCAGGCTCTGAGCTGGCAGTCAGCACAGAGCCCGACGCGGGGCTCGAACCCACGAACCACGAGATCATGACCCAAGCGAAAGTCGGACGCTTAACCGACTAAGCCACCCAGGCGCCCCGTATGTTATATTTAATAATAAAAATATTTCAAAAAGAATATTAGGAAAATCATAAAAGAAAATATTTTTATATAAAAAAATGTTCCCATCTTGGTGAGCTAAAATAATTCTATATAATTGTTAGCTAAAGAATGCAGGGAAAATAAAAACTTCTTTGATTTCCCCAGGTCCAAGAGAAATATCATATTATTTATGATAATTTTCAGAAACACTTTGGAATTTATGATCTTTAAAAATGATCTAAGAGTACATAGATAAATGTGTTCCCCAAAATCAATCTGTGAAGTTATTCCTCTTCAAACTTTTCTTTTCCGTTAGTGGAACTTGGTATTTGTTCAACAATTTTTTGTTGAGCTCCAATTATGTGCTGGGTACAGCTGAACAAATAAGTGAATGAATATGCTAATCTATTAAAAGTAATCTTGAACTAGAACTCCAAATCAATGACTAATGTATTCAGCAAGAAAGCAAATACCGTAATAAATTTTAACTGTATTTTTAAATTAAATTCATGGGACCAATGTAATGCTGAATTTGGGACTAACACACAGATTCATATAGACAGGCACCCAGACAGAGGCCTTATTTAATGCAGAATGAGCATCTACTCCCTTTTTCCATCCTCCTTCACTTCTGAAACTCTTGTCATTTTAGAGCATGGGCAGTTCTAAGTTTAGATAGTTCCAATATATACAAATCTCTTACTAGAGTTTAGTTCATCATCACCAGTCCCTCATTAACACAGTTCAACTTTCAGTTACTGTAGAATATTAACTGTGAGTAATCACATAAAATATAAATCACAGCTTGCTCTGCAGTCCACAAATCACTACATAAAAGATGCTCATCATGTTCAGTGACCAAGCATGTCACTTCTTTCAAGGTTTGTCAGTGACATGTCACTGCAAATTACTTGTTCAGTTTAAGCACAGATAACAAATCATGTTATTTTACTTCTGCTAGTGATAAACCCATGTAACATTCTACCCATGGATAAGTGAAAGAGGGAATTGGCCGAAATTGGCCATTTCAAGATGAAAGTGTAGTGAAGAAACGATATGTGGTAATGCTAAAAAGTGAAAGTTGAATAGAACATAAATGGACTTCTAGAAGAAAAAGCTGTAACAATGTTGACAATGCCACCATTTGACAGACTCTAGATAAGCAGCTAAATGGTCTTAGCAAAGGTGAAGCTAACTAGCTAACTAGAGTGCCACTAGCAAAAACTTCATATTAAAGGATCTCTTGGAGATCCTTTGAAAGACCAAAGGATATAATGTTGGAAGTTGATCCAAACATAGAAAGGAGTATGACAATTAGCTAAGGCATAGAGAAGGGGCGCCTGGGTGGCTTAGTCGGTTAGGCGTCCGACTTTCGCTTAGGTCATGATCTCACGGTTCGTGGGTTCGAGCCCCGCGTCGGGCTCTGTGCTGACTGCCAG